GTGCCTGTGCGTGTGTGCACATGTGCCTGTGCGTGTGCTTCCTGAGCGAGGATATCCGCGCGCGTGGCTCCGCGCTTGCGCCCGCCACCGTCCCCGCTCGCTCGCGTCTGCGTGTGTGCGTGCGTGCATGCGCGCGTGTGTGTACTTCCGAGCACGCGCGAGTCCCAGACGTCCACGTGAAGTCACCTTCACCTCCACAAGCCCTGTGCCAATGACAGCGTCGTGAAAAATGAGCGGTGCTTTTTGTCAAACGGGGGAGTGTTTAATGGAGCTTTCGTGCCTTATTAAGTGCCACATTTTTAGTGTTATTTTTTCTATTTTCCTTCAGAAATACAATTAACCCCAGGTTTTCTGTTCTCATATCCATCACGTTTCACATTAGAAACGTATTTAAATAGCGTGTATGAGAAAATGAGCGTGGGGCATTGCTGAGCCTCCCATTGGCGATTCTGAGCGTGTTGATGACAATTCCAACAAGACAGCTGCCGTTGGCTTGCCAAACATTTTAAAAAATATTTTTATCGACTCTGCATGGATGATGGGTGGATCCCTACGCGCTGGCTGGAACTTTAACTGAAAATCTTTGAAAAGCGAGTCAAACGGTCTGCCAGAGTGCGTTACCGATATAAAAAACACATCGGGGAGTGAAGTTTTTCCTTAGTTTTGGCAGCGACTTTTACTTGTGAGGATATGTTCGTGAGCGTTCTCCTCCAGCCATTAAGATTGTCACGCCGGTCACATAACCACTTTTATTCGTTCCCCTAATCAAAGAATTTAGTGGCCTCATAAAATAATGGTTATTAATTTTTTATATATATAAAAAACTGGACCGTGTTTCTCACGTCAGGCTGGGTGGCCTGGTTTCAGCTTTAAAATGTCACCATAAAAATGTGTATTAAATCAAAATGCATCTTTAATTTCATTAAAACACGTCCATATTTCGGTAAAGTCACGTAGAAGGGAAACAATAAAATAATACAAATATATTGTTTTATATTTTTATTTTTTATTTTATTGTTTCCCTTCTACGTGACTTTACCGAAAGAACCAAGAATATGAATCCCTGCAGTCACGAAAGCTTTAAATCAAAATGTACGTCCATATTTGTATCGCTGCTTTTTCCATTTTTCGATCAATCGATTAAATGCATTCAAAATATTTTAGCTGCTATCGTGACCTGCACGTAATTTAGTTTAAAAGTAATCACGTGTCTAAACCTTGTAAAGGGCGTAGAGCACGGAGTCTGTAGCGTGGCATAGAAAGCAATGATTGACCTTGGTGAGAGTGAGCTCTTTTCTCCAGAGTAATAATCATAAGTTAGATTTACAACGTGCTCAGGATACGTGCTTCCAACGAGCAGTGGATGTGTTCCTTCTGTCAGCAAAGTATCACTTCATGTCTGGCATGGGGAGTTCATATCGTAGAAATATTTCTGTAGTTTCTCGCTATTATGAAACTCAGTTGTGCTGTTTGAAGAGGGGCTTACCACGTATCAGCCATCATAAACAAACGTGTGTTTTAGTTCTCGGTTAGACTGAAGTGAGTGGAAAAAAATGCATATGACAATGTTATGCAGTCATTAGCCGAGACCATAGTCTTTGGTATAATTATAATCCTTGATCCTGGTTAAATCGCTTATTCCCTACCTGGATCTGGGCCCAGGTTCTTAGTGGGCCTTGCCTGGTAAAATGAAAAATAGTTTAGTTTAAGTGTGCCGTCAATTTTGAAATACACTTTAAAGACTCCCCCCCCCCCCCCCTAGACCTCATTTCCAAAAGTAGACCACCGTGTGCCAGAATTATGGCCCAGATTGCCAATTAAAAAAATTGCCCTCGACCAAATTACGCAACTACAACAACGACGACGACGACAAAGACTGCGTCAGGCGCTCGTCGCAGTTAAAAGCCTCTGTGCCGGATTTGCCAGGTTCTGCCCCCGCCGCCCACCATTGCTGGAGGCAATTATCGGCACGCAGCCGCCACGACGGTGGTGACGGATAAAAAAAACATATGCGTGCGTGCTCCCTAAGATGTTTCTTTAGATTGCCAGATGCTGCCTTGCCTCTCATCCCCCCACGGGCCCTATCCCGACGACGCCCCAGAAAATGAGCAATCGCGTTTCGGGGAGCTCGTTGGAGCCGTGATTAAAACATACATCAAACCTCCGCGGCCTGTGACAGCCCACTCAGGTGTTTGGCGCAGGGGTCACCTGTCTGCGGACAAGAGAGGGCGTTGAGACCACGGGCAGATGGATTAACCCTCGAGTCAGCGGGCACACTGCCGCCACCCGTAATAGGGAAGGGGGAAACAGATGCACGTTCAAAACAATTATCGTTGGTTCACACCAGGGTTTTATTTCAGCTGGAGCAGTCCAGGGCCGAGCTCCAGAAAAAATGTCCCCGCCTTCTCTCCCACCCTCCACTCTCCACCCCCCTTCCCCACTCCCTGTCAGTGGGGAGGTTAGGGGTCAAGTTCCAGAAGGCTTGGGGGCCCCCAAGTAAGATCATGAAATTTTGCGTGAGAAATGAAGCCCAAGCGCACGCTGTGTCATTTATGTAAAGAACCATAAAACCTGCATAGGCAAAGTGTAAATAATAATAAGTCCTCGAAAATAGTGTAAATAAAATGTATAATAAATAAAGGTGATTGCTTTTTGAGAATTATAATTGCCTGTGATTAATTTCTTGAACATTGACATGCATGATAAGCACCAGTTATTCATTTTGTGATAAATTGTATTTTTTTAATCTATACAAACACATTTTGTATTTACTTTTGCGGCACGATGGAGTGCGCTGTGGGGTGAATCGAGGAATCCATGCTGCTGCTGCTTTTTTCATTTTTCTGTGAACTATATTCATCGCAACAAAGCTGCCCATACTTGATATGTCACCTGGGCCCAGTAACTACACACCTGTAGTCAATGGAGATGGTCAATTTCCAAGAACACGTTTACATGGTCAGTTATTCTGTGCAGGCCAATCGTGATCCGGTCTAGCCTGTCGAATCCACTATATTTAAGAGCCTGGTATATACTCTTATTTCATAGGTTTTTTTAATACCCAAGTGGTTTTATGGTTAAGAGGTACTTGATTTGCTGGCATCAATATCTGAAGTAAGCTGGTCTTGTGTCGGGCCCAGTTCTAGTCTGGCTCTGTTCTCACGGAAGGCATTTTGAACCTCCTGAGAGCTGACCAGCCACTTCTGTTTGAAGGGACTTCTTAAAGCGTCAACTCCCTTGTCAGGGAACCCAGCCTAATGAGCCACCGCAGTCTCGAAGCTCAAATCTCTGGATCCCTCAAGCCACTAATTACTTGGTATTGTCCCACGGAGCGAAGGCTTTCGGGCAGATGCCTCAACCCGTGTTTGTCAAGTCAAAGTATCTCAGCGCTGTCACGAGCGAGCGTGCATGCGGCTCTGTGGATCACCTCTGTTGGTGCTCCCAAGCCACCGATGAAAATTACATATTTCTGTGTTGGTAGCTTCTCTCTGAGAACATGCGCTGGTGCCTTGCCACGAAGTGGTACTCATTTAATTTTATTCAACCTCATTATTATGATTCCTTTCATCCACTCAACATGGTGGTACAGTGGTCAGCATCCCATCTAACATCAGTGGTAAGTGCTACGTTAACCTGGTCCAGAGTCTCTTTCACTGGCCCGCACTCACCGGCATGGTGAAACGCGGTCACGCATCCCCAGTGATTGATACACCACGGTGATGCCTACATCCAAAAGTGGATTGACAGAGGGCTGGTACAGACGATGAGCTGAGTGCACCTCCATTCGTATTTGAACTGACGACCTTCAGATTGGGAGTCGCTGTCACTCTGCCGTACAGGTATCAGCTCTTAACAAGCACGTTTACAATCCCGAACTCAAAGTCAGTTGAAAGATTTTGGATTGCCTTGTTCTGCAGCCTCAAGTAGGCCATGGCTTGAAATGGTAGCAAACCTGATATTGTTTTATATCATGAGGAAGTGTTCATGCAAGGTTTCCCAAACTCCAGTTCTCACGGCCCATCACGCTACGTCCTTCCGCCAACACCAATTTACTCCCATCCAAGCAGAAATTAACTTGTTCCATGCTGCACGCGCCCCATGATTGTTTAGCACGTCCCACTTGACACGCTAAGCAGCTAACACGTCACGTGCTGTTGAGAGCGATGTCACGATATGGTGAGATATATATATTGAATGATTGATGCACTGTGAGTAAGATAATGACAAGTGAACACAGAATGGGGCATCAAAACTGGGTTGGTCTCTAAAAGTGTGGCGGTGTAGCATTCCCTTACCATCATTGGTACACGCGAGATCCTCCTACAAACGAGCAGACGATACTTTTCCATCACGGTGAGTCCCCCATCGACTGTACAGAGAACCTCCAGACAAACGCTCGCCATCACCGCTGCCTCAGCCCCGCACCCCTTCCCACGACCGCTGTCGCGCGGACGCCGTGCCCTTGGGGTGTCCCCCCGGTGTTGGGGGGCTCCTGCCTATCCCTCACAACCCCTCCCCCTTCCATCCTCTCCCCACACGAAACACCGCAGTCTGCGCTCAACACGTGAGGCGTTGTCCCGATTTTGATGTTGGCCCTGCAAGCCCCCAATACTAAGTGTTTGGTGTAATTGTACCGCACCGTCAATACGATCCCGGCGCGATAGTTTGCGGTGCGTGAAATTTTTTTAATAAAAAAAAACTTCTCCTTCGTACCTCGAAGCCTGGTTACAGGCCTGTGTGCCACCGTTCATCGTCATTGGTAGCCATGCTCAATCAACTGCTTGATGAAGCCCTTTCATTTCCTTTTTAGTCCCCCCCCCCCCATAAGGAAACTTGAAACTTGTGGCGGACTGACTGCGATGCCCGGTCGGTGCAGCATGTGCCTGCGGGGAGACAACGGCCATGTTGACTATAATGTGTCGCAAGCTGCTTCGTGAACCACGTGGGACGGGATTAACGTAATGCTTCGCTCTGTGGCGCGTGCGTGTGTGCGTTTGCAGAACCATTTTGTGGCGTGCATGACGGCCATCCTGCGACAGATGGACGAGAGCCACTACCAGTACTACATCCAGACGTTCAAGACACGCTCCGACCTCGTTGTGAGTCTCCACTCCCCTCCTTGAATGAGCACGCACGCACGCTGTTTCTTCACGACACAGCATACACAGCTCATGGCGGTGCGTGGGGAGGGGGGGTTGCTGCTGGGCTGTCGTGGTTAACGAAACGGACTTGCAATCCAGAGGTAGCCGGTTAAATATCCCGACGCGGCAGTCGGAACGATGGGGATAGTTTTTATTAATCCCACCTCCCCCATCCACCCCTACTCCACCCGGCAGTTTAAATAGGCACACCATGGTTAGCCAATCGGTGAGCCGTGTGTGGTGGGTTAAAGCGTGCGTACTTCTATCTCTTCAAAGACGTCCACGCAGCATGGAAGAGTAGGCCCAAAATAGCCTCTGGAGCTCCCTCTGGTGGAGGCCCTACCACCGGCGTGGGTGCGGTGCCAGCCGGTGATCGAGAGGCGCCGGTGTTTGGCGTTGGGGCCGGTCTCCCGAGAGGACGACCACCGTCGCCTTCGCACGCGGCGGTTCTTGTTTAATCGCCGCGTCGACTGTGGCAGGATGACGAGCTGAGCCAAGATCAGAACTCGCGAGCAGCCGATTGTGAACAGAGGGGGTCGACTCATCCCTTCGTTCTTACAGGGTCGTGAAAATCGCTACTTCGTGGTGGGAAGCCAACACTCTCATGCCTCTACGGAGACCGGTTTCTGCCCTAAGAATTTGGAATTTCCACTTCTGGTAGAGGGCTGCAAATGCAGTGATCAAAGATGAACTCATGACATTGTTTGAAGAACACAGCATTGACACCACCCCTTGTCGGATATTCCCCATTAATTACGTTTTGTTAAACAGGGTTTACATTCAATTAGCAGCCATCACCTCTGCTGCCTGTAGGGAGTTTCAGAAGGGACATTTATTATTTTCTTGTCTTGTTATACATAACACGGCCGGAATGCTATAATTGGTGTTAAACCTTCAAACTAATTACGTCCTCTACTCATAAGAAATTAACATGGGATTGATAATTAATCATCACCATCATGATCAGCCATTCGCTGTCCACATTGATGCTATAACCAACCTCCCATGCTTTACTGCACGAACATCAGGTTGTACATGATGCAGACCAGAACAGAAGTCGTGTTTTCCTCTACAAATAACAGAAGGCAGTCAGGGTGTCGCTGCACTTGAAGGGCAGTGGAGCTGGGCTCATTCATTGGAGGTCCTCAGCCAGCGGTGAAAATTCCACATTACGGAATCGGGTTCCAGTTAGTATTCATGATACTATATTAATGAGTTCCCACAAAGTTGCAATCAGTTAATCGACCAGATAAACATGATGATGATGTAAGTCAACTCCAAACAATGAATACCAATATGTGTTCGTTTTAACCAGGGAAAAAGCCTCATGAGGGTCTTAATTTGGCTACTTGCTCTATATTGGAGGAAACACAAGAGTACCCGCACCTCCAGTTAACACTATTGGCTACGTAGAGTGCGAGAAAGAAGTTCAACATACCTACCCACATACCCAGATAAAATCCAAACATAACATGCGGAAAACACTCGCACTCCGCACGGATGGAGTGGACGCTTGCTCAGATGCACGCTGTTGGTGGGTGCCAATTCCTAATCCCTCCTTGCTTGAATAACCAAAGTTGCCAGATTAGAGGCGTGCGCCACATCACTCCCACACACGCTGTCAGTCTTTTCAGGTTTCCAAGGCTTAATATATTTTTTTATTGGGAACTATATGTTGTTTTAAGAACCCCAAAAAGGCTTGCAGTGACTCCTTCATTTGCAGCTGAGAAGCAGGCCATCTATGGCGGCTGCATGTGGTCAATCTAATCGGATTTGGTCGCATTTATAAATGTGGCCAATCCGATTAGGTACCTTTGTAAAGGAATTGGTATGAGCACTATGACTCGAGGTTGCTATTAATAACATAAAAATACCATATTTGTTTCTTTTTAAAGAAATGCGAACTGGCTGCTGCTTCCTCATGTTATGCCGCGTTGTGGACGCAATTACTTAACTGCCTGCATTTTAATTGGTTCTGGAATTGTGCGTTTATTCTTATTCCGAAAAACAATGGATGTAAAATCAAAAGGGATGAACCGGCACAAGCTAACAAGCAGTAAAATCTGCACAATGGAAATACACTTGCAGCGTGAGATTACACGCAGCCGCATTCGTGCTGCAGGCTCGTCAGAGCAACGCGTTACTCGCACGCAGGGAGCGATGGAGCGACCGGGGAGGGCAATTTCTTGCCGCACGAAAAGGAAGGGAATAGGGGGCAATGCCAAGCCGCCTCTCGAACCCACGAATCTCCGCCCTGAGTAACGCCGGCTCTCCGCTCCAGCCGCGTTTCCTAGCAGCAGGGAAACAATCTGCCGGGATGAAAACGCAGCCCCACGCGCCTCGCAGTGTTCTTAAACACGTGCCCTGATTTCACCGCTCTCATCATTTTAAGCTCAATGACACGTGGCAGAAATGAGACGCGGCTGTCAATTTGCAAACACCCCCCGCCCCCGCCCCTTCCCTTCCGCCCGCCCACGCGTGTATGAACCCGGCGCCACGTGCAGGAAGAACATCTGCCGTGCTTTGGCGCCGGGCTTATTTAATGTGAAACCCACGGCCGCCGGTGACACCGCGACACGCTCCCCACGGCGGCGCCGCTGGGGGACATCTCTTCCCCAATGGAGGGGACGCGGGTGTAGGGGGGGGGGGGGAATTAAAGCCCAACAACTTAAACATTTAGGGCTGCGGTGTGGAGCCACATGGGAAGGCTGTTGGATAAATATGATGAAGAAAAAAAATCAGCTTTGGCGGCATATTAATGTTTAACTGCCATCTGTTATTCTAATCCCTCCAACGATTTAGACGATTAAAAAATATCAGACGGCGTTGGCGAAGTAATTCATTTTTTGTGCTCTAATGTGTCAGTTGTATTAGGGTAACCTCATTTTGGCTTTCTTCTGTGCAGAGACTAAACCGTGATTGGCAAAATTATGCAGTGCGTATGGTGAGCGCACGCGACTGGGGAAGTGAAATATTGCTGTTTATTCTCATTTTATCGTCACGCCCTGTGCGTTGGTTTCTCCATCGTGGTGTCAGCTTGCAAATGTATCTCTGAACGCACGATACTCGTGATCATTTTTCAAATGATAAGCAAATATGAAAACGGATTTGTGGCCGTATGAAAGAAGCAAACACTCAGGATGATCGAAAGCCAGATGGTGGGATACTCTCAATGTTCCTTGGAGGTCTAATGTTGACTCTGGGATGATAAGAGTAAGACTTGAGCCAGGTGGTGGGATAATGTTGAAGCGCACCCTGGTGGCTGGTTGTCAACGGTGTGACTTCTGGGATCTGGCAGAAGGAAAGAAGCGACTGCAACGGCTTGATGTGATTGTGCTTGATGAGGATGGATGCTGCGTTCCTCCAGGACTTTCTGATGGAAACATTCATCATGTTCAAGAACCTCATCGGCAAGAATGTGTACCCGGCCGACTGGGTCATCATGAACATGATGCAGAACAGGTGAGCGCTACAGGTTGCCCCCCTTGTGGCGCTGGAGGTGTGCCGGGAGGGTGAGCTGGTGAGTGGTGTCGCACGTCTGCTGGCTCGCATTCCCAGCTCTGCCGGGCCAACCCAACACCGGCTGAGCCGTCGGAAGGTAGTCCCGGGAGCCGGCTTTCCATAACGGGGTCGCAGCGTTTAAAAGTGGGGCGGACGTTGGAACCAGTCGTGCGGGGCTCAGCGCGCAAGCGGGACACGCAGCAGTCGGCGTGCAAGCGGGACACGCAGCGGTCAGCGTGCAAGCGGCGCACGCAGCGGTTTAGCATGCAAGCGGGACACACAGTGGTCAGTGGCGCGGCTCGCTGCAGGGCGCTCCGGGAACACACAGCCGACCTTACTGGTTGTGGAAACGTGGCACGAATAGCCAGGGGAGACCACGTGCAAGGGGTTCCAATCTACAGGTGAGCCTGGTGTTGTTGGGGCAGCCCACGTCACAGGTGAACTAGGTCACACGCCACGCACAGCCATGGACGTCTCTGAATCTGATTCAATGAACGAGCCAAGGCAACACGGAACCGCCTCGAAATTCCTCCTTGCCAAAGGAAACTCATGCCACCTATTGATGCGGGAGAGAAATTGAGCTTCAAACAAATAACCCTCGAGGGGATTCGCTCTTGTTCCGAGTTCACAATGGCCCTGACACCCTTTTCGTTGTTAAGAACGGATTCAAGTTTAAATGCGTTGTAATCTGTTATTTGTCAATTGCTTTCCAAAGCACCAGAAAGACTGCTGTTATCCTAAAAACAATAAATTATATGAAGGTAGGGTTGCCGTGTTCATAGTGCAGCGCACAAAGCACTACGTTCCTGTATTTGAGGGGTTATAAAAACAAATATCCCCATGAAGCCTTAACAGACTTTTGGGGCAAGTATTGTTAGTGGGCATCTATGAAGGCCAGCATGGCAATGAGGGTGTGGGCGGCCAGCACCATGCCTAGCCGCTTTTGTATCCCGAGTGGCGATGTTTATACACTGTACCAAGTAGTCAATGGAGGCTGAGTAGACCTAGGGGAGGCCGGGACCAGTTCAAATATCTACCACTGTTTTTGGCTTGAGCGGGAATTGAACTCGGATTGCCAGGTTCATAGTGCAGAGCGCTAACCACGACACTCCACCATGCACACATTTATATCAAGGAAACACTTTGAATATAAATCTCAGTGGTTTATTTGTGGATATATTACCCCTGCCATAGGAATATGTACACTACTCACTAGGCTCAGGAACACAAATGAAGATAGGAACCACCCAATGGTGATTTGAACAGGGGATACTTGATCATCTTGACTGCAATGGCATTGATTAAATAATGACAGAAGCGTGCAACCAAATCTGTGATTGTCATTAATAACAATTAGATGCTTGGTTTGCCAAGTGGGTAACACATTCGCTGCTCAGCCAGTTTCCATAGAGTCGATGATTAGATTCCTGCGACCGCCCGGAATTGTAAGCGGGTGTGCGTTTTCACGTCTGAAACTCTGGAGGTCGGTATGCAGAGCTGGCCCTACCTGGATCCTGGGTTTGAATCGCAGGGAAGTTCACACAAATGGCAGAGTCTCAGGTGCAGCGAGTCGATGGTCTTACCGATGACTGCACATACACAAAACAAAAAACACGTCGGTTAAACATTTGTTTGGCCACGTTTTACGTTGGCAGAAATCAAGTTCTGACAATGAAACTCTTGGTTTGGACTGGTCATGGGAGGAACATTAGTCCGTATCTCGTGCTACTCCTATTATGGATAAGACATTCGTCATGATGCATTGATGTCAATAGGCCAAATTGCAAATGTAAACATCACCCACAGCTAACATGCCCAAGAGAGTCCCATGATGGCTCTATTAGAGTGCTGGGTTGGCACTTGAAATCTAGCGTAAACAAACACGTCTTGTTGTTACCGGCTTCTTAAGTCACACAATAGCCTATAATACGAATTAGTTTTTAAAAATATAAATCAAGTGAGCCTCATTCTCCGGGCTAAAACATGCAAATATATCGATGTCAAATAATTGAAATGTGACAAACCACACCTTACACAGTATAGTGGAGGGTCATCCTGAGTTAAATATTGAAATGACTCCAGAATTCGTTTCGTGGGCTTCATCTTCGCAGCCCACTCCTTGACATCTTGTGGCCATTTAAGAAGGATGTTATTTTTCACAGCGTGATAATTGAGTGCCCCTATATATGACAAACAAAACAAACCTCACTACCCCGTAATGTCAGCCGATCAGGTGGCAATGTCGTTCGAGCATGTGATTCACAATCGGAAGGCTGCAGTTTGAAATCCCAACAGTATTATCTTACAAATCCAGTACAACTTTGTCGGAAGCCCGTAGGCCCACCTGGTTAAATATACAACATTTATTGATTTACGACCGGCAGTGGTCAGACGACTAAGCGTCCCCAAGTCACCAGGTTTCCTGCTGGAAAAAGCGGTCACCGCAGATCAGGTCAGTTCAGTCCATTACGCTTGCCTGCAAGCGGTCGCCTGAGCCGCGGGGCGTGCGCGTGCACGTGGTGTACGGCCGCGTCGGGCCACGCAAACGTTACGTGCGTGGGACGCGGGGTCCGCGGACTGCGGTTGTTCGATGAAATTGTTTGAAGGGTAAATGAATTATCGCCGCGCCGCTTTTATAAAGAACGCATTAGCCATGCATGGCCGTGCTCATTCAATTACTTTGCAAACTCCGACTTTATTTACTGTGACAGCCGCTCTATTGAATAAACCCGTGAACAGCATTGATGCGCAGATAATTCCAGCCCCGATTCTTGGGCGATCGATAAATTTAATTTTGAGAGTATTAATAATGGTTTGTGTATGTGTACACAAATTTTGTGAGGCTTGCACTCTCCGTACATGGAATTTGACATAGTTGCTATTTTAAGTATCGGTTGATGATTTAAAAGCAATTAAAAGTACAAATGTGCCAGGTTGTGACAAAGGGGTCTCTGTGGGTGACTCACCCAGGAGTCGAAAATCCACATTTCTAAGGCACAGCCTTTCCTTTCATGGGACAAACAATGAATAAACCAGTTTAAAATAGTAGAGAGGTCAACGTTGGTGTTAAGAGATGAACGTTTGAAGCATGAATAATGCATGTCAGAGAAGCTGTGCTCCAGGCCTTTATCTATAGGTTATGCAGAAGATGCTATAAATTCTCTGACAGGATACACTTAGCGACTATAGTCATTTTGTTAATTACAATGCAACAATGTAGACTTAACAGTGGAGCTAATTGTGAAGGGGAAGTTATGGATGATGCTAGACATGTCCAGGATGGCACGGAGGGGCAGGTGACTAAGCCAGACGGTGAACGGCACTGTTAGGGCAGAAGCCGCACGTCCGGTGTTGACTGTGGAAGGATCCCGCGATCTGCCGGGTGGAAGGAAGGAGCGATGCTGAGTTTTGGAGGCGTCAATGCCAGTGGCTGTGTTGACCCCTTGAACTTGACCTTGTGTTTCAAAGTAACCATTTGGGCATTGCTCGTGCGAATATTTGCTCCGTTAAACTATAAACTAAAACTAGTTTGTATTTTACCAGGTAAGGCCCACTGAGCTATGTAGCTCTTTTTCTGAAGCGGCCTGGCCGCAAATGATAGCTCAACGAAACGTGGCTCGTCAGGTGGAAATTCATAGCAGTAGCCAAATACTGTAAAACGCGCGTTGTTTCTAAACGCAGGCAGCGGTGGGTGCGGGTGGCCGGCGAGACTGGATGATGCAGTAACAGCGCAGCCCTTGACACGGTGTTGACATCTCATTGGTGACTCGAATACCTTTGGGCTTCCTGGTGCCTTGTGGCCGACCACTGCTTTTCAAACAGACCGCATCCTGTTCGACCACCCTCGTCTGATCCGTTGATGCATTTTAACAGCGGTAGAAAATAATGATGCTCTCTCCACTTGAGAGAGGTCACTCGGGAGCCAGACAAAATATGCGCAGGTCAGAATTTCCGTTTGCAGCTCGTGCGTCACAAGTTGCCTCCAACAGAACAACGAAACGGGAATCCCTTTCTGCTCCGTAAGTCAATACCATCGTTGTGCATTGTCTTCGCACAGCCTTGCAATAGCCACCAACTCAAAAGAGCCAAAATTGGAGCATTTTTTTTTAGTATGTTTGGTGGCTGAATAATTACACGATAAATTAATAAGTAGGAGAGAGCGGTTTGAACAAATGTCAAAAGCCATGTCAAGTAGTCTTCCTGCATCAATGAGCGTTTGGCAGTGTTCTCCACTCCCTGTCTTGAGTTTGTGCTAGATATTCCACGTGGCAGGATGAGTAATTTCTAACATCAAGTCGCAAGGGTCACCTGTAAGGCGACGGCGTTATTCGTGATGGCGCGGAGTTGCTTATGCACCACCGCCAATGCAGAATCACCACGTAAATTGATTTGTGAACACTTGATCCACGTATAAACATCAACACTAGGATGACAAAAGCGGCTGGACTCGTCAGTCTCATTTTGTGGCAGGTCAACATCAATTGGCGCTCGCTAAGAGCAATTGCCCCTGCATCCTCTAAGGCTAAATGGGGAATCGTTGTCTTTGACTTTGTGTGTGGGAGTAGGTGGTGCATTGGCTATCACTTTGCACTGGGATCCCGACAATTGTGCACAGCACCAGTGCCAAACAGAGTATTTGGACCCGTACCCGTATCTCCCCGAGGTCAAACTGAGCTTAAAGAAGTCAGCACCGGGGAGATTCATGTAGCCTGATGTGCATGGTGCTCGCCACTTTCCACGTATACACTGTGCCAGTTTTAATAGGTGCTTGCGAACAGCATTCATTCCTACAGGTTAGCAGCATATCTGACCCTGCGCAATATTAATCTCTCGATAAACTAAGCCTTAAGTAAGTACATGGTGCAGTGTGTGAATAACATATTTGGGGAGATAAACGTGGCTGGACATGGTTCTTGCTACACCAACCTCCCGTCTAGTGTTCTGTGTTTTAATAGGCGCTCGCAAACAGCACTGGACCCTACAGTCTATGAAGCTGAACAGAGGATTGTTGTCCTCGTGCGTGCGTGTCTGTGTGTGTGTGTGGGGAGCGGGACACTTCACGTGGCCTTAACGTGCACATAGCCTGGCACAAGCATCGTGGTGACGTCACCACCACTTAGTGGCGAATGGCGGTTGTTGTTGTTGGGGACCGGGAGTGTAGTGGTTAGCGCGCTGTGTTACAAACCCGGGGACCCGAGTTTGATTCCGGCTGACGGCCAACACCAGTGACGACTATCTGGGCTTCCCCTAGGTCGACTTGGCCTCAAATGAGTACCCAGTGCGGTGTGTAAACATTGCCGCTAGGGAGACAAAGGCGGCCGGGCGTGGTGCTGGCCACCCACCCCCTCGTGTGCTGTGCCGGCCGTCGTAGGTGTTCTGTAACAGCACTTGCCCCAACAGTCTGTTAAGGCTATATGGGGGATCTCTATATTTGTTTTTTTGTGCGTGTGGTTTGCAGGGTGTTCCTCCGAGCCATTAACCAGTTTGCGGACACGCTGAACAGAATGTTTTTGGACAGTGTCAGCTTCGAGTTGCAGGTAAGAGATGGGGCTTTTGTGCCAAATGTTTTCTTAATTGTTTGGCAGGATGCACTGCCAAAATAATTACACATGCAATATATATGTATAGACCGCACAATCGGTATGCCACATTTGTTAATTAAATTATAATTACTCACGGGAATCAATTTTTTTTTTACGTGCGAAGTCCTATTAAAATGTGCTTCTGCATTTGACAATCATGAATCCTGTTCGAGGGGGGAAAATAAATAGATCCATAAGCATATATTGTTTTGTGCTTTCCAACGTGTGTTTGTTCTCGTAAGCATTCCATATTTTATTGCAGAGCACTCGCAGGTTAGAGACATCGCATTGATCAATCAGAAAGTGAGTGGGGCTTGGGCAGGACATGGCGCTGGATCGGGCGACTGTGGACGGACGGACGGACGGAGCGAATCCGTCGGAAAGTCTTCACAACGCCGTCGTTAGTGTTGTAAACAACCCCGGTTTGGCAGCTATTACACCTTGCAATTAGATTGACAATTAACAAAATAACAATTATCTTCTCATCACAACAGTTATAAATCACGAGCGCGTTGCCCTTAATCATTACATGAGCAAGCATACATCATCATTGTCATCTCATTAAAGGCTTTAGCCAGGGCCAAAAGATCCCACTTCATTAAAGGCCACTGCCGCTATTGCAGTATATTTCTCCTTTTTCTTATAAAAGAGGCAAGTTGAGCGCAAGTTTGCGTCGCGCAGTGAGGCCGCTACCTGCAGCGTGGCATTGAGGAGTCTACGTGATGTGTACAACTGCATTCCATCAATTGGATCTGAACCTGGACTCGTCCCCTCTCTCGCTTGGCTCAGCCTTAAAAAAAGTACTCGGTGCTGTGCGTGAAATGCATCTCTGGGAAGGTGGCTGGTTGTGGTTGTTTCTACACCACCGTCTCATCTAATCTTGCGCCTTTAAGAGATTCTCTCAAGCAACGCTGGCCCCAATGTCTGTAAAGCCTCCACAGATCGACGATGAGTGAGTGGCTGCAATAATAACCGTGATGGTTGTGGGAGCAAGGACACAAGATATTGGCTGTCGAGATTATAATGAATAAAGAATCGCCATCAATAAAACATTGTAATCACGGGTATGATATGAATAATTTGGTCGTTTGGGATGGCGCTTCTGTTACAGAGACACATCACACTGGCTTCTGTGTATGTGTCTCTTTAGCAGCAACCGGAGCCCTTTCCCATGTACGGCATTCATGAAATCGTGCCAGAAATAAAGGTTGCTACGGACAACATGTCTCTTAATATACATATGTATAACATATACCAAAGAATAACAACCAGATTTATCTGCACTTTAGATGGATTCATTAATCCCCCCCACCTCGCACGTGAAGGGCTCACGAGTGACGTCATCACACCTACCTCTATTTAAAGGAACGTAACAGGAGGATGTATCTACAAATCTGGCTGTCGCCTGATGAAGCTAGTTGTAATTACTGGCGAAACGTCGTACGCAGATTGTAAATGTGGTGTTGCTCTCCAACACACCGGTGTGCTGTAATAATAACGAATTGGCACGTTCTGTTTACGTGACAAACCTTACTAGTTGGCTGTGTCGAGTGGTGACGGGTTTAACGGCACAACATTTATATATTTACACAACCTAACCCAAAAAAAACCTATATTGTCAATAACCAGAACCTTAAGCTTTTTTTTCTCAAACTATCATCACAATTCAAAGTCCCTCGCTGCTCAAATGAGCAATGGGGGGGGGGGGGGTGTGGGTTGGGCGTGGGGGAGCGCTCACTCTTTTCCTGTCTGCCTTCAACCTGCAGCGGAAATTCCACATTCATATGACGGGGGATAGTCTGTGCTATAGGACGAGCACAGTTGACTTCCCACAAATTGTCTCGTTGCATTGCCACGAGAGGGACAATGGGCTCAGCCGCCACCCCCCAACGGAGCCTTGTGACCGAGAGAGCTCGACCTCCCCCGGCCGGGTCGCTCTGCCTGGCCACTGCGTGTGCTCATGAACCACGTCTTCCTGTGCACAACTTCCGCGCAGTAGGATGCCCTGTTTTGTTGCCAAATCATTAGATAATTGTGATGAATTGCCTCCAGATAGAATTGCAATTATGTCCAAAATTTGAGTTGTGTTTGCAATCATATTATAATGGCCTAACTTTTGTTAATTAATATCAATTACAATAATAGCACAGAAAAGATGATGATGATGTTTCTGATTATGGTGGATTTATATGATTATTTTTGTTAAATTGTTGCTGAGGCAAAAAGATGCAGTGCCGAACTAATATCTTATAGCAGATTCCCATATGCTCATTAATCTCCGTGTCGTTAACCATTTTAAATCTTTAGATTTTGGTATCATGAGTAGTGAGGATCGCTAAGTGGGTGGATCGTGTCAAGTCTAGTAAATAACTATTTACTTGCGTTTGGTTGCATCGGCGATCTTGCCGAATGTGGGACAAACAGACACTGGTGCACGCACAGACATACGCACAGGGCCATAGCAACACACAAAGACAAAGATCCCCCCTAGAGCCTTAACAGACTGCTGAGGCAGGTGCTGTTAGCGAGCACCTATGAAGGCCGGCACGGCACACGAGGGGGTTGGTGGCCAGCACCACGCTGGCCGCCTTTGTTACACGTACCACACACATCACAGTAGTTATAATAATAGGGTTTTCCCCTTTTTTCTGGCAACAAAACTGAAACCTTCTTACGAGGATTCATGTCTGCATTAACCACAATACCTGCAGTCAAAATGCAAACAAAAAACATACTATGATAATATATGCATTGTCCTTGAAACTGATTGGTCCACACCAAGGGACGGCTTTCTTTTGAGCCTCAACCCAATTGGTGCTCGACCAGGTGACGCCAAAAGGATTCATGTCTGCCTTTTGGCGTCACCTGATCGAGCACCAATTGGGTCGAGGCTCAAAAGAAAGCCGTCCCTTGGTGTGGACCAATCAGTTTCAAGGACAATGCATATATTATCATATTATGTTTTTTATATTCTTGGTTCTTTCGGTCAAGTCACGTTGAAGGGAAACAATAAAATATATATAAAACAATAAAATTCTCACGATGTTTCGACTGTAACACAGTCATCATCAGGTATGAAAACCGTTGGTTTTCACACCTGATGATGACTGTCGTGAGAATTTTATTGTTTTATATATATTTTATTATTTTATTGTTTCCCTTCAACGTGACTTTACCGAAAGAACCAAGAATATGAATCACTGCAGTCACGAAAGCTTTAAATAAAAATTTAGTATGTTTTTTGTTTGCATTTTGACTGCAGTTATTGTGGTTAATGCAGACATGAATCCTCGTAAAAAGGTTTCAGTTTTGTTGCCAGAAAAAAGGGGAAAAACCCGATTATTACATTTTGGTACTGGCAAAGGAGGTCTAATGATGATCGCAGTAGTTGTTTATGCACGACCTTGCCATTCATAACTTGATCACGTGTCGTTGTTATTGGATTATGTTCACACGTTTCTTTTTTTTGCTGTAACCGGGTGTCTATGGTGTAACGAGGTCTCTGTCGACAATTAACATGTATTGCCCCAGTGGGTTTTATACCTGTGCCAAAATTAAACCTAACCCCTAAAGCATTGCCTGTGCCTCCACTCCCCTCCTCTCCCGTCAGCTGTGGAACAACTACTTCCACTTGTCGGTCGCCTTCCTCACGCAGGAGTCGCTGCAGCTGGAGAACTTCTCGCACGCCAAACGCGCCAAGATTGTCAGCAAGTGAGTGGTCCCTCGTAGCAACCAATCAGCTGGTGCTGTCACTTTCCCCTTTCAATTGCTTTTGGGGAGTATTCTAAGAAAACAAATGTTACGAAAGTAATCCTAAATAAATAAATACTGGTCACGTGCTGAGTAATTCTTTACATATTTTAAATGTGGGTAATACCAGATTAGCGGTACCTGGCTTTTGTAACCTGATAATAGTGACTGCATTACGTGTAATACGTTAATCCCCAGCACTAGTATTAGGGCTTTGTTTAAATGTATCAGTTTAAATAAAATATCACTGCAGCCTTATATCCAAAAGGAAAGTGTGTGGTCGTGATCAACGATCATTTACACCGCTGCGATAGCGATTTAAGCGGTCCTCCAAGCCTGGTCATTTGGATGCCTGTGGCTCATTTCCTGTGACTCTGATGTCAGAGGCCAAGTGTTTACTGTTGCCCCGTTTAGCGTGTTTTGTGTCTCTGTGGTGGTGTTCTCGCTAGTTCGTGTTGTGTCTCTGTGGTGGTGTTCTCGCTAGTTCGTGTTGTGTCTCTGTGGTGGTGGTCTCGCTAGTTCATGTTGTGTCTCTGTGGTGTTCTCGCTAGTTCCTGTTGTGTCTCTGTGGTCTTCTCGCTAGTTTCTGTTGTGTCTCTGTGGTGTTCTCGCTAGTTCGTGTTGTGTCTCTGTGGTGGTGTTCTCGCTAGTTCGTGTTGTGTCTCTGTGGTGGTGTTCTCGCTAGTTCGTGTTGTGTCTCTGTGGTGGTCTTCTCGCTAGTTCGTGTTGTGTCTCTGTGGTGTTCTCGCTAGTTCGTGTTGTGTCTCTGTGGTGGTCTTCTCGCTAATTCCTGTTGTGTCTCTGTGGTGTTCTCGCTAGTTCGTGCTGTGTCTCTGTGGTGGTCTTCTCGCTAGTTCCTGTTGTGTCTCTGTGGTGGTGTTCTCGCTAGTTCATGTTGTGTCTCTGTGGTGGTGTTCTCGCTAGTTCATGTTGTGTCTCTGTGGTGGTGTTCTCGCTAGTTCATGTTGTGTCTCTGTGGTGGTGGTCTCGCTGGTTCCTGTTGTGTCTCTGTGGTGGTGTTCTCGCTAGTTCCTGTTGTGTCTCTGTGGTGTTCTCGCTAGTTCCTGTTGTGTCTCTGTGGTGTTCTCGCTAGCTCGTGTTACGTCTGACATTCTAGTTCCTTCATTGATGCTGTTACCTGGTTTGTTATGCTCAATTTTGAGACGCAATTTGCAACATGACGCTGTTTAATAATGATAATCATATAACATTATTATTATTATTTTAATAAGCCGATTCCCTGTGTAGTTTTGTAGAACAATCAACAGCAACCTTTGTAATTCTCCAGCGTGTGTGCCTCCTCACTTTATGGGCATGTTCAATAACTCAAACATTACCGTATATATAATTTTAATGTATTATCCACGTGTAGATTTGAAAAGTGAAAATTACTTTTTCAAACTGTTTCTGCGTTTTGAATATATATTCGGAAATTATGTATGCGCAGTTCATAGTAATGTTCGCAGTAAAAAAAAAATACATGCCAATACTTCACCGTGCACTTGAATGTAATCTTAAAATAGGTGTTTCAAATGTTCATGTTTGAAACTGCGAGTTACCCCAGAGGGTTCAGAATGCCCACGTGACATCACCGAAACCAGCACCGATGAGATCTTTGATTTGAATCTGGGGTAGCCACTCCCTGGCCTATGCCTCTTCTCGAGTTCAGCCATGTAATGGTCTCGCCTCGTTCACTAACAACTGCACAAAAACTAAATCATTATGGTATTTTTTAATTGATGCTTCCTTGTAGAAATATTCATCTATCAAGGAAAGGTCGTGCTAAGTCAGGAGGGATTTTGGACGTCTCGTTATATTCATGTTTTTTTTTAGGATTTAAAACATTTGCAAAAAGTGGCTGGTTTGCTCATATAATGGCTTGTGTTAGAAGACCGAGCAAGCATTGCTTAAAACTCGAGTTTGAATTATCATTTACCATCCGTGATTCGAAAGTGTAGCGCGTTGTTCTCATCTGCTTCCTTGCCAATGGGTGGCTGCACAGAAAAGGATAATATTGGCTTTCTACTTCAGTTATCCAAACCAAATCCTCAGGGCAACAAAATAAAATAACATTCGATGACCGGACAATTCTAAAAGAGTACGGAGGAACACCATCGTAGTGCTGAGTAAGTGTGGTCTATTATTGAATGCCTCCGTAAATATATTTTTTCTCGGTGTCAGCTTCCAGGGTCGATAGCCGGTGTGCGATGCGCCCACAGTTTAGACGCGTTCCTTCACCGTGTCACGTGACCCTCAAAAGAGCCTTTGCTGGTCAAAACAAGGTCAATGACTAAACTGTGCAAGTCCGAGAATAGTTTTTCCCCTTTTTTCTGGCAACAAAACAGGTGTTGAAATGTTAAAACACCAGACTGAAACCAATCAGTTTCTGACCACAAGTATTTTGGTTAATGCAGACATGATTCCTTGTAAAAGGTTTCAGTTTGGTGTTTTAACATCTTAACACCTGTTTTGTTGCCAGAAAAAAGGGGAAAACCTCTTCTCATATTTTGGTACTGGCAAAGGAGGTCCCATGATGTGCAAGTCCAGTCTCCCTACTCGAGTGAGCATGGGGTAGTGGCTATCTATCTTGGTAGCTCTGAGCAAGCGCTGGGAATTCCACTTTCCTTGGGTCGGGGGCCCAGTCACTGCATCGGACCAACCACCGTTGATTGCCAACAACGCAGCACTCTGTCTATCAACCTAGGAGAGATGATGGGCTGAGTCAACCCCTGACCAGAGTCTGAACTGCCTACCGTGTCTAAGAGTTAGTCGGGCACATTAACCTTAGCAGCAGGCAGCCAGATCAGGTGGTTATGTAATTTAAGATACACGTTTTTCAAATGTCATCGTTTTAAATTTGCCTTAATTTTGCCTCATTATGTTCATGTAAATCTGATTTAGCCACAGGAACTCCGGAGTCTCGCCCCTTTAGGATAAGGTTGGTGTACATGCTTTAGGATAAGGTTGGTGTACATGCTTTAGGATAAGGTTGGTGTACATGCTTAGACGCATGCATGCATACAAAGGTCCCTCGTATAGCCTTAAACTGACTTTTGGGGCAAGTGCTTTTAGTGGCCGGTATGACACACGAAGGGGGTGGGTGGCCAGCAAGACAGAGACACGCACAAGTGCGCGCGCTCACACACATATGACTCTTTATGCACACGGTTTGCCACGAGGCATGATTAACATGAACTCCGTTTCTGAAAGGGAAAGCAATTTCACGAGAAAATTAATTGTGGAACCGTCAAATCCACTGCAAGCGGGCATTAGCAATGGTTAACCAGCGACGGATGCTGCGGTGGGGGGTTGATCACCAGCGTGTGCCGAATGCTAAGCACGCAAAGCGGCGCCTTTGCTTAAGCCGAGCAGTCGTCTCTGCGACTCGCCCAGCAGCCCTGGCTTTGCACTTTCACGAGGAGAATTACCGAGGGACGTACGAAAAAAAGGTTCACGAAGGATGAAGCGATAACACAAATGTCATTTTTTTTGTTTGCGTTCGGCCAATGGAGGTTGGGCCGAGATGCTCTTGAGCTCTCGTGCTTGATTCTCAGGTGTCCAGCCAGATTCAAACTCAGAATCTCAACGGTTGCCCGCTCAGTGGTCGTCTGATATGGCATTAGTTCTCTGAATCACTGAGCAACAATTTTTTTTTTTTACTCCAGCCGGTTTCATCCAGATTAGGGTTGTGAACTCAGTTGCTGCCGGGCAGTAGCTGCTGATGTGAAGATGGGTACCACTGTTTTATTCCTTTAGGTCCCAGGCTGTGTAGCTAATAACTGTACAAAGTGTAATGTTTTCGTGACTTCATTTTACGCTTTCCATCTCTGGGGACTAAAAAAAATTACATGTTTGATTGCCTTACAAATAAATACTTTTAACAAGGAGTAAAGAGGGTTTGGAAGAGAGAGAGGCCTACTAGAGAGTTTTCAAAAGTATTCCTGTTCATCTTGAGTCACTGCCCAACACTGTGATATTACACTTTTTTCCAAAACTGAATGTTACCGGCTCATTATGATGATTTACATGGCACAGCGACAATGTAATTGTGATGGTAAAAATGGAATACATCACTGCCAGACAAGATTGCAAGGTGCCTTCAACGGTCTTGAGAAATTGGTATTCGAAAATGGCCTGTTGTAAATATTAATGCGGCAATGTAGTGTAACGCACCCTTATCGCTGTTTTCCAGTAACTTTTTGATCAGTGCAAATTGGACTCGTATCCACAAAGCAGGAAATTACATAAAGACCCTGTTACATGCAGCCATGGCCTAAATACTTTCATTACTCACACATCCTTCAGCCACAACTTTTTAACCAGCCACTGCTCAAAAATTTATCATGGAATTGGAGCAAAACGAGAATAACACAGGAAGATAATTGCATGCGCGATGAACTGAGTAATTTGGGCATTTCGCAAGCGCGCGTGCTCTCGTGTCTCTGCCGTTCCTCCCAGCAGCGCTGTTGGGACGCACAACCGAGCACTCCCGGCCCGGGTCCAGCTGTTAACTAATAACAAAACCGAGCTCCTTTAATGCATCACAAACAAGCTGTTGGTTTAATACCAGCGAAAACACCTCCCGGCTTCCACAGCAAGTGCCCGAGCTTAATGGTGCTGTTTACCATTTTCCGTAGGCGTGCTTTTATGTTCGGCCTTCACTCATTGCGTTGCACACCCCCCCCCCCCCACATCCAACCCCCCCGTGCAGCAAATGAATGCCAGGCAACAGAAGCCTAGTGTTGCAGCCCACGTTAAACCTCCTGTTGGTTTTGTCCGCCGCTAACGTATTTAAACCAGAAGTGTCGTCTCCTGCTACGGTTCCTGCCGCGAGGCGTTGGGCGAATGTTAACGCGCGGCTCACAATGACGCAGTTGGGGGGGGGGAGGGGTGGAATAATCCAGCACCTTGCATGTCTCACATCCGTTGTTTTGTCGTCGTTATTTTCCGTCACCAGCTACATCCCGACGGTGCCGCCGTCGTGGGGGAGATGTGCAGGGCATTCGTTTCTCCTGGTTCACCCAGGAAAGCCTCACCGAGTCTCATGAATTTATTCAGGAGGATCCTGCCATGTTTTTGCAGTGGGGGGTGGGGGGGGGGGGGTGACGATTGCTACACGAGTTCCAATTGAATTTTTTTGCGAGTGACTTTTCAAATGTGGCAAATATGAACCATAATGCCGGCACTTAGTGGCCTTCACTTGCAAATGATGCGATGGGATCTTCAATGTCCACTTTGAAGGTTAATGCACCCGCAGTATTAATCAGGGCGGCCACTGGATTTGAACCATGAACCTCTCTGCAACAAATGGCGAATGCGCTGCTGCTATGTCCATGTCGCCAAAATAAAATCCTTTCCAATATTCTGCATAGTTAGCAGAAGCGCACATTCTTTGGGTGATTGCACATGACCTTGGAAGCTCAGCTGGTTTGAACCTGTACACTGTGTTTCCACCGTGCGCAACCTGGTTTGTTATAGGCTGCTGCCGCGACTAACGTGGCAAGCCACAGAGGGCAGTGCAGCGAGCTCTTTGATAGTATTGTCTAGTGCTCCGTGCCGTGACCGGGTGCGCGTCGTGAAATGCGTTCGAGTGACCCACACAATGCCGGAGTGACAAAGCGGCAGGGCATGTACATAAGGGCCCTCAACTTAAAACGTATTCGTCTTAAGTTGAGTATCTTAACCTGCTCCTGTTCAGCAGCCACTGTTCCCCCACACAGCATTACCTGGCCATGTTTCTGGTGATGCGTTCATAAATATTCCTTTGAAATAATAGAGAGATACGTGGTACGATTACATTAATAGGGAGACACGTGGTGCAATTACAATAATAGGGAGACACGTGGTACAGTTACAATGATAGGGAGACGTGGTACAATTGCAGATGGTGATTGAGGGCTGTTAAGCACAACGTCCAGTGTAAGCGAAACATTATGCTTGCTACTTACATATTATGTTTTGTTATTTCCTTAAAGTTTGAACCTTCTTCTTTCATACGGCTGATGTAAATGCAAAGCAACAACTACAATTTCACATTCAGGTGGTCAAGCCAGACGACGCGTCAGGAGCAGCGGGGTGTGTCGCTGTGATGTCTCCATCAACGTTTTACTCAAACCTGTATTACAAGATCAGTGATAACAATATGTGAATTGTTTTCCGTTTGTGGTGGCTCATTCCCAAAGTTGTTCTCGAATAGATGCTGTGTGTGTGAGAGAGACACAGATCTGTGAATCTCCATCCCAGGTCAAGGCAATAGGTGTTATACAAATGGTCACAGCACTTTATTTTGAAACTGTGTGTCCAGGATTCATGCTTAGCTGTTGGAATATCATTTGCCGATTGCTTACTTGTGTGCCTGCGTGTTTTTGCATGCGCTTTTGTGTGCGTGTGTTTGGCCGTGTGTGCGCGGGTGCCTGTGTATGGTCATACACGTGTACACCCGTATGTGAATGGGGGTGTGTGCGTGCACGCGCATTCTGTCTGTGCGTGTGTCTGGCTGCGTGACTCCGTACGTGCGTGAGCGCTGCATGTGTCTGTGCCCGCGTGCGTGCGTCTGTGTGCACGCGTGCATCTCGACGTGCGTCCGCCACCCTCAGACATGGAGACATGCGGCGAGCCATCGGATTCGAGATCCGGGACATGTGGTACAACCTCGGTGAGGGAGCGCGCATCACCGCAACATCCAACCCAGCGGGCAAACGGCTGTAATTTAGCATCTCTGCCCTGCCTGGGAAACCCCGGGCTGATTGAATGCAGTAATTTCCTCATTTTAATGAATGCTGTGACCCACACCTCACCCTGCGAGTACCCTGCTGAATGATTTGTGGCTTCTGGGAGTTTTGAGTGGCCCGTGCCAGGCACGAAACCTGGCCTGTGACGAACACAAAGCAGACACCTCCACGCTCGCACAAAGGCGTTTATTTATTTTGTGAAACAGCCACAGACTGCCGTTGTGTGTGGTCAGCAAGAACGAAAGCGGAATGCTGGGCAATTCTGTCAAAATAATTCGCAGGCGTTGCATCCTGGATGGCAATTTATTTATTTATTATTATTTTGAATTGTCCCAAGTGCTAAGGATAACCCGAGGGAAGGTTGGAAAGTTTTTATAAGATTAATAAAAACGGACATATTCCACGATCATCTTGAAAACTCTTTAAAATTAGAGCTGTCTTTAATCATTGCATAAAAATGCAATAATACTGGATCCACGTTTAGCCAGGGTTAAAATGTCCCATGGCAGTCATGAACCACTGGTTGAGAAATTCTACATTCCTTTGGCAGGGACCAGCCTTTTAATTTGAAAAACAACAGCCCACTTTCCATATCCACCGTTACTGCTTTTTATTGAACTCGGCCTCGCGATTGAATTGGCAAACACCTGACTGTGAGTTGCCCTCTCGGTAACGAGAACCACGTGTCCAGATAACCGCAGTGCGCAGGAGCAGTTGAGAAAGTAACGCTGTCCGGAACAAAGCTCCGTGACCATAAACCTTCACTGGGCCCACTGAAGTTCATCTCTCTGCTTTTTCTGAGTGGTTTATACGTAAGTCCATAAATTGCTGCCTTGACAATTCACACGTATTTTTGGCCATCACGTAATTGTAACTCAGTGTGGTGGTGGGTTATTGAAGGGGTTATTACAGCCACTGCTGCTGCTGCTGCTGCCACTACCACACCTCGCCGTCAGTGACATCCTTTTTGCTAGTTCCTAAAACTCTTACGGTCGACGCCTCACCTCCACGCTCTGTTCTCACAGTATCCCAACGTCTGACTCACGTTTTTCCCTTTGGTTTGCTTACTTCCCCATACCACTCCCATGCCGGTCGCAATTTACCTGCCCTTCACCCTGCTGCACAAATCCCAAATGCATCACAACCTCCTGTTGATTTTATCACTGTCTACGGTGTGTTCCTGTTCTATTCTAACATACAAGGTGCTTCCAACATCCGATTATGGGCCACCCAGCTTTCTCCACATGTCCCTTTAATCAAAGTTCAGTCGGTTATTTTGCAGTTATATTTTTTTTAAGTCTACCTCTTTGACCCTGACAGCAACACAGGCATCACTTCTGCATCAAACATCTTTCTCGTGAACTCAAGTTCATTTCTCTAGTCTTATGTAGCCCATTAAAACTTGACTTGACAATGAGTTGACAGTCTTCTCACAATGCCCCACGAGGTGTGCGGCATTTGCTTAAAGCAACGTCTCCGAGATCGTCTCGGCTGCGAGTACCTGAGGCACGTTGCTCTACAGCGCAGTACCAGCTTAACACAGACACACGCACTCAAAACATCGCTCAGACCCACACATGGGCAATGCTAAAGCCTCGACAGCGGCTTAAAGTGGTTTGCGTGGTGCCTTGAAGTAAGTTCTTGGCTCGTGGGATTTTTACATTTATTCATTTTCTGTTCCTTGTTTCAGTCACGGCCCCTTCTCCCTCTGATGTGTCTTCCACGTCTGTGTGTTTGGCTCACTTGGAATAGGCATCCTTTCCAAAAAACATGCATTTATAATTCATTGCGCTGAATATTACATGCTCGCTTTATTTATTATTGGTCGAGCACTACCTTGTCAGTATTTTTCTCCGCGTCCTTCTTATTCCTTACGGCCTGTCACCATCAAACATTTCACGAAGGTGGCACACAATCAGAAGACCGCGCGCTCTCACGTAAAAAAAAAAATTGTATTCCGAGAGCAAATGGTTTTCAAGATTGAAAGAGAAAAAAAAACTAATTTAGTCAACGTTACCGCTTGTGTCTGCTCCGATTGTGTGCCCCGGTTCACAGACGGCTCTGGTAGGCTGCACTGCTATGGAAAACGCATTCACAGTGGTCTTGCCCTCACCGTGACTTTTGTTTCCGTGTCGAGTTTTAATACGTGGGAGCGCGCCAAACACGGTAAAAAGTTTTAGCGGATAGGAACGTGCTCCCGAAACTGTTTAATACTCTTGAGATTTGATCATTGGGTCACTGCTTTTGTTTTGCCGGTCGTTAATTCCCGGAATCATGGAAGAGGTCACTCCTTTCCCTCTGCTGGGCTTCGAGTCTAGAATATCCATTGTTGTACAGCTGTCTCCAATCTCTGGCCCTTCTCTGTTAAAGCTCTTGTTCCTAACTCAAGCGATTGTTTGTCGCTCCCTCTCTCTTTTTACACTGCCTCTGTCCTACATCTTCATATTTGCATTGAAATATGTGGACTACTTTGTGACAGTGAACTCCACTTCCCATAAATACAGAACGTGTAACTGAAGTCCGCTGTTGGTCCCAACAGTTGCAATTGCTTATCATGGCATGTACGTATTCGCTAACTCCGTATGCTATTTAACACAATTATAAAAAAAGGTACTGAACGTTCTTAATGTTTCTAAACGTAATTCAGATGCTCACAAAGTCAGTATCACCACTTTTAAACGAGCTTGGAGCTGTGCTGATCTTGTCTATCCATTGGACATCCACTCTGTAAGTTCAGAAATGAAACTCGCAAGCGTCCGATTGTGTGTTGTGTGCTCTATCTGCAGCACCATCCATCCATCAACGTCCTTTGGCTTTGCTGCCTGGGTGGGCATTAATCATTCACAAGCGTAGGCCAATGTCACCGTGCTTTTAAACTTTTTTGTTTCACTGCCACCGCATAATTGTGATCCTCCAGCATGCTTCCTTTCTGTTTTAAAATGAGATAGATAATGAATCTCAGTGGCGTGCCACCCGCTTCTATCAAAGTTGCTTAATGCTCACAGCAGTGAGCCCAATGCAGCTTTTGTAGCTCTCCTTTTAACTTTTTTAGACGACGCTTTAAAAACGTTATCCAGGCTAGGATTGTGTTGCTGCCCTTCGCAAATCCGAAGCGGCATTAATCATTGAGCGAACGGTGCCCCTTCTGGAAATTACCTTGATAAGATGGGAATGGTCTTTTGTGTTCAGACTGCATCCCGTGCAGGTGAAGGGTTATCCCTGCCAATGGATGATGCATGTTCCCCTGTGAGATAATATGCCTCCCGGCCCATGGATTCTAACACCGAGGTGACTTTTTGCTCATCAATATTGCGAGACCACATTTAATTATGCCAAGCTGCACGTGGACAACATAAGAACAATTCCAACGTTTTTATTTCCACACACACACACACATATATGTACACGTACACACAGTAACAACCCTTCTTATCTTACTCCCTCTGAGTTGTGTGTTCCTCTTGCCCATGCACTTTACTATTATCCGTGCGCTAAATTCCTCCCGTTATCGAGCCTTTGTATGGAAAAGATGTGACCCAGAAAGAGCAGACAACTCATTGTATCATGTGAGCCTTTGCATGATTCAGAGTTTGGTTTAGACAGAAATTCCACATTCACGGGGGGAGGGAGGGGGGGCACTCAAAATGTAGCACCACAGGAACCAACTTGCTAGACTGCCATCTCCTGGACACACAACGACCTCTGTGATCCCCAACCCTAAACCTCTAAAGCGCCAGGGTCACAGGCGCATGCCGTCACGCTCAAACCCTACAATAGAGATCTACAACCGACTATCCACCGTGGCGTCAACCACAGGCACTGCTGAACTCTGGTAGGTGAGCGTTTTGCACACAGTACGATCAAAATGTGACCCATGAATTACAGGTCACTGGATTACAGGCATTTATCTCAGAACTGTTGCCAGAGAGACCTTTGAGACGTTTCACCAAATCCTCTCCTCCAATCTGCTCACTGGACAGAGTCGGAGTTGTCACCTTCATTGCCAGGGTGAGACGTCTTAACGGCAGCCTTTTCTTCACAGGGGGACCAATATCAGTAATGGGGGAAGAGGGAACAATGGGGCTGTTAACAAACGACTCGTGTTCAATGTGGAGAGCAGCAATTAAAGATATTTCTTGGCAACAGAAGCGTGACGGACTGCATGGCCAGCACGACCGATGTACAAGCTGGCTGACGCTGTGACTGATCTCTCGACTCGCAATCAGAGTGTCACGGGGATCACGCCCCAGTTGTGGTCGGCTCAGCCGATCATTTCTCCAAGGTCGATAAAATTGACAACACTTTGCAGGAAGTCATCAGTGGTTATTCCACACAAAGACTGGCACTGTCACCACCCATGGGAATGTGCATTTGCACGACTGCTTCTGGGCCACCCAGCAATGCCGCTTTGAGTAGATGTACAATTTGACTTGAATTGCGAGCCAAAGTTCAGCCTCTTAAGTGTTTTAAAGGCCTCTAAATGCCATATTATTGTCAAGCGGCTTTCTAAAGGGCCAGGCACAGGTAGCACAGAGGGCCTCGGCATGCCGTGCCTGGCAATCCATAGCAGTGTCCCCTCATCCGATTTCTCTAGGGCCCAAACCTTTGCGTAAGGGATATGTATGACTTGAGAAGATCAATACATCAAGCGCACATGTTAACAGCCCCTGGCTGTGTAATGCATGGGCCTGCGAATGACCTTTGCGCAAACCCAAATTGCTTTTCTGTTTTTGCCTCGCGCTTTTTTTCTCGACGGCGACACCGTCCCTGCTTTAGGAGGCACTCAGAGGGACACTAAGCGAGCGATCGCTCCTTGAATGTATTAAGATCGAGTAAAGGAGGTGCGAAAGCGATCGTGGGAGACCTGGGGGGGGGGGGGTGTGGGGGAGACGAGTGAAATGCTGTGTTTGCCGTTACAAATGCG